ATCATTGCTTCAGAACGATGCAATAGGCCATTCTAGGCTGTATAGATGTTTTATTATCCTGTTTATAAAGTCGTAACCAATTTTTGTGTTTTACGTACTTTTAGGTCTTTAAATGATCGATGCAAAGACAGCGTTGCTAAAGTATATAGCTGACTGGGAGAAAATGATCATTACTTAAACCAACATCTACTTTATCAAAATACCTGATCTCGAAATTCATTGTCACTGTGAAAATTCTCTACCTAAAAATTGTTATCCACACAACGTAAATGGTACATAAGTGAGGAAAGGAAACAATCTTACTTTTGGCACAATCACCTCTTTGCTGACATGCTTGTGAAGCAATGTTATAGAGTATATAATATTGTCATGTAGTTATTGATTTTTAAATCTAATTTTATTGCACAACTCTACTCAGACATTAACTACGATATTTCCTAACAACATAATTAGGCTAAGACCCGTGCTAACTACTATTTCAATAACGGTATTACAATCACTAGTAACAAAGTATCCTACACATGCCAATGCTTACGAAAAACGCCTCTTACTGACTAAATGAGGCGAGATTCGCTATATCCCCAAATAATTCGGTTCTAACGACCGAATACTATTTTATACTTATAGCGTCACTGATAGTGTAGACGAGGTAGTCAGAGATTTCCTACTATTTATTACTAAAGAAATCTTGATAACCAAGATTATAGGCTTGATAATTCAATAGCAATTGACAAGCTAGTTGACGAAATAGCCGGTTAACTAACTAAAAAGCGGTCTTCAGGCATCAGCCTTTTATAGCCTCGTCAGAAACACCTGGTTACATATAGAGTAAAACTATCCTTCTAAAGTTATAAGTACATTATCATATTAATCAAAGGTTAAACAGATTATATGAAGAAATGATAACGTCAATTCACACAAATAGCATTTAATATTACTGCCTTAATAATTAAAGCGAGCTTACGCATCGTAATAAGTGGATATACACGAATCTGAGTCGCAGCATTGCATAAAACGGAATTTTCCAACATTATAAAATACTGTATACTGAAAGTCATATCAAGTTCTGTTTTTGCATCGATATGAATTAATTCTCATATATTTTCTTCAATGTTTGTTAATTCATTTATTGTTTCTAGTTTTTTATTAACGATATAAATAGGACATGGTATTTTTTCATTGGGTGGAGAGAGGGATTTTGCTCCTCTCTGTGCATAAACTAAATATAAGTTATTAAATGCTGAACTATCAACACAATAAATTAGCTCTAACTTTAATCTAGTAAAAAGATAAGCTTTACTTACAAGTATTATATATAGTAAGTCGAAAATTACCATTTTATACAAGATATATATCTACGTGATTGTAGTCCAACGTACAGGTATGTTGTAAACTTTGCATCTTCCAGATACTTTTATTCGTATTTGCTTTATTTTATCTTCCTGTTTTTTGATCACCTGAATTTATTTCAGATTGAACCTATTAATGTTTTGAAGTGTAAATTTTTATACAAAGTGTATAGAATCTAATAGCCTGTCATAGATTTTTGTACTCCATCAGCATATTAATCTCAATAAATATTGCTTGACCCTAATGTCTCATCCTTTGACCAATTCAACGCAGGCGATATGAATTACAAAACACCCTTTTATATTTTCGTATTATCACCATTTTGTCGCCCATTATCACTTCCATTCGAATGACTATACCGGAATTGCATTCTAACAATTTCTAATATAGCGCTTGCCATCCATCTAATATTAGCATCCCGTTGATATCAGTTCCTAGAACCTCACCATATCAAATATAGCTATCAACATAAGGAAATATAGCTATCATTACAATCAAATACAGGGACGATCGCTTTAAGAATAGTTAGAAAAATTGACTTTATGCTGACGTAAGTGTAGCAAGAAGTTATATTCTATTACGGTCTGGGCCGTCATCAATGTTATTTTCATTAATTAATAGCTTGCTATTGCTCTTATTATTGTCAATAATTTATTGGGCTCTGCTATTCATTAATACGTTAAAAATAAGTTTACTCTAGGAAAATGGATATGAATGATTATACTAGAGCTGCATCAGGCGATATCAAAGAGAAGTAAGTCGCAAGTATCTGACGAAGAATATATTCTTCCGTTATGGCTCTATATAGTAGTACTCTTTCTACTACGTACAGAGTAACGTGATTCCGGAAAAAGCTTTAGAATTGGCAGTTGAGTGGCAGTTGAACATAAAATGCGATTTACTAGGTTATCAAGTAACTTTGAAACTCTGTAGATAGCTGAAATGATCATTTTTGAATTCCAGTAGAGTTATAAGTGCGTATTATCTCTTAACTTTCTCGAATTATCATGAACTTATTGACAAATATTGAAGCCTACTATTTGTAAATTTTAAAGTTGCGTGTAAGGTTCTGTTAATATGTACCAATATTGCTACTTTGTGAGTCCCTCGTTCGGCTTTTCAACGACATTTTGATGGCTTTACTCTTCCAGTCTTCGTCTACAACAGTACATTAATGATTACACTTACTTTAAAAGAGCATTTTATGTAGTTAGCAAACTCTTTTCGTCAAACTTAATTGTATCAATTTTATATTTCACACTCGGCTTGAATACTATGAAGCTATATAGCAATATAGAGTTTTCTGTAAAATTTCACATAGAATTTAGATATCATGGTGTAAAGCACAATGATATTTAGTGTTTCTCATTTGCATTTAGTTCAGGCTATGCGATTGCACTTCTATATTACAGTTTAGCATGTTATTACACAAACTACTTACTGTTTAGACCATCAATGGCAGTTAATCACCCAGGTATGGTCTACCATAGTAGCAATAAAACTGTAGGCCAATTTATTATTTGAAAGCAATCAAGGTGATTGATTTCATAAGAGAAGTAATTCTATATTCCGCTGTGAGAGAGTTTCATCACAAACTGATGCTAGCTAAGAACATGATATAGCATACTAATTTAGCTAAAAATATGAGACTAGCAACAGTTGAAACTTTTTTACCTTAATAACTAAGAGTAGATTACCTCTAGTAATTGCCACAAGCTCTCCGTAAATATGGTGAAACTTGGAGATTATAGAGATTTGCATGTTTGCTCGTTTCGCAAAAGTTGAAACGCAAACAGAATGGAGCTAAATAGTTTCTTAGATTCATTTCTGTACATCATTAGCTAAATTAGTATAGACCTAAATGCAATGCTGGATGAGTTATAACGGTAACCAACAAGCTAACGGACGAATATAATAATAAAGTGTGTCTAATAATTTACATGAAAGTTGAAACACACGCAAAGTTAGAGCTAAATGCTTTCATGAATGCGTTACACGTATATTAAGCAAACACTATACTAACAAATAATAATACAGAGAAAGTGGATCTAAATAATTGAGTTGCCTGAAATTTGAAATAGGCACACAGCATTGGAGTTGAATGTATCATTAATGTATAACTAGATGAGTTATATGCCAAGCAACAATCTAACTTACGAATATTACAATATAAAGATTAGTATCTAAAAAGTTGTATAAAATCGAAGCATACCGTAAGGAATATTAGAGCTAAATGCATGACCGGGTGAGTTATATACTCGTACAAAATAATAGTCTAACTGACGAATGCAATGATGTAGAGAAGTGCATCTAAGAAACTGCATCAAATTGAAATGCATACAGTGTTAGAGCTATTTGTATGACTGGATGATTTATATACTAAACAAAATCCAAATGGACAAATGCGGTGATATAGAGAAGCATATCTTAGAAATTGCATAAGAATTGCAAAGCATATAGCGTAGACAGAGTAATGTCGAGAAACTTAGTGTAACTTGCGTGAAAGTTGAAATGCATACAGTGTAGGAGCTAAAACCATTTACTGGCAGGGTTACATAGTATATTTAGCAAAAACCTAATGAAGAAATCGAGTAAGTTACGAGAGGGTTAAAACGCACATGGTATGAAGCTAAATACATTGCTGGATGACTTGTAGATATACTAACAGTAAATAAAAAACTATTGATCGAATAATTTTACATTGAGAAGAGCGTGTAATAATTTACATGACAGTTGGAACGCATACAGAGTTAACTGCATTACTAGATATACGCGTATGAATACTAAGTAATAACCTATCTGAGGAATACAATAATTAGGAATTTGCTTTTGTATTTTGTATGGAAATCAAAATACACACAATATTGGATCTAAATTATTTGCTGAACTAATTGCATACTAAGCTACAGTCTGTCTTATGAAACAATAACATAGACAAGTGCATCTAAAATTTGCATGAAAATTGAAAGGCATACTGTGTTGGAGATAAATACTTTACACTATGACTTATGGCTGAGATAGAAAGAACGTGTAGTGATTACGCTATCGCATTGGAGTAAATTGACTATACCAACCTGGTAAGGATTGATGTCCCATTTCTATGTTAAAAAAGTAATTATGCAGCGCATGTAGGGTGTAGGAGAACAAATTCAATAGAGTTATTGTATCACTTTTTTCAAAACAAATTAAATCATTTATTATGAATAAAAAAATTAGAAGAGTTGTCAACATTTCAATCTATGAGCGTGTACAAAACTTATAGCATTTACTTTTTTTCTTAACAAAATGCTGTCAGAATATCATAGAAAGCAATAGTCTTGATATAAAATGATACGCTATCAGTGAAAAATTATCAAGCGTAGATCATTTAATTTCATTTCTATACCATTCTGTATCATAGGATACGCAAGTATGCTTCATCAATTCAACAATATAATATTGGTTTTGCGATATTCTATAAGTTTTATGAAGAACGAAAATCCGGCTAATTTATTACGTTTGCAGGAATCTTATCAAATTAATACATTAGTTTTAAACATTGTTTGTCTAAAGAAGTATTTAAAACAGACGTATAGTTGTAAATTGTAGATTATATCTTGTTTTAACGATTGCATTTTATCGATTGCTATCAAGAAACAGACACAAATCAGCTACTTAAGACTAAATTTAAGAATTAAAATATCAAAAATTCTGCTAATGTCCTCCTTATTAAAATCTTGAAGGTGCTTTTTCATCATACTAGGCACTGGAGTGAAATTAGACCAGAAATAATTATTAAAATGATCGTTTATAAATTCTACTATTGCCAACATCAAGCTTGAATGATCAAGCCCTAGTTTAATCATATCGATTTGATTTGAAAGCCAACAACTATCAAAAAATTTAAAATACAATTTCATAATTGTACGGTCCACACAAATGGAGCAATCTGAAAATTTCAGTTTTAAACGACCGCCGGCTGAAGTTACCAAAGGGGACTTGTACTCTACCAGCGGGAAAACTTCTTGATCTTGGTAAGTTGTCTCAGATAAATTTAATTGACCAGGAATAAACTCTGCTCCTTCAATCATGTCATCATCAATATATGGATAAACTTCATAATCGTTTTTAGCAACGTTGAAATAAATGGTTACTAAAGGATGTGATGCCATTAAACAAACTATAATAAATCGACTGTGCTGTAAGGATGCTTTTATATCCGCTATACTATATATCAGATTATTCAATGCATTCTTCAATTTAATCACATACCCAGTTTGATATTCATAGTTTATAATAAACCATTGCTTTTGGAAGCAAGTTACATCCATCATTTCTGTATTTGTTATACCAGTAGTTAGAATTGGAAGATTTTGAATGTTGATGGAATGCCAAGAATTATCCTTGAAGTCGTAATATTTTAGAGTCTTTCCTTTCAATATCTTTAGTTGTATAACTACTGGTCTATCATCAAAAGAAATTACTTTATGCATTTCTTCACCATTTAATAATACAATTAATTTGGTGGAACTTTCTCCAGTATTCAAATCTAAAATTTCAACATTTATCAGATGTTTACTACATGTTGCGAAAATCATTCTGTTTTTATGAATACCGGTTGAATAATTATATGTTTTCATTTTCTCGAGATAATTCATAAATTGATAAGGATACATAATTTTGTATTTAGCTGATGGTTTAGAATTATCCAAGTTGTGCAATACCATTCGGTTTTTCTCATCCATAGAGTAAAAAAAATGGGTAGTCCTAGTTATAATGCAATCACTCCCAGTACGATGACTAGAAAGTTTATTATAGGTAAGATTGTGACTAAGTCCATCCGGAACTACAAACCATTTATTAAAGTTTGTATGCGAAGATTTGTTAGAGCATTCCGATAATACGACATCTAGATAATATATTCCAGTAACAAAAGGAAAACGCAGTGATAGTAATACATTTCTTACACCTTTGAAACTTTTCTTGGTGGTGAAATTGAAGAACGCTGCAAAGCTGAATGTGTTGTAATAACCATAATCAGAATTCGTAGATGGTTTCCCTACTAGCTTCCTTAAAGCAATCAACCGATAAATAACTTCCTCGACTACATCTGATGTTACTGTTAATTCAATTGTATTTGTAGTTATGTTTGGAAAAAAGTATTCCAATATTCTATAAAAACAGTAGAGTGTCTTGTCTAGACATCGAATTTCGATGCTTTCAGCAGTTTTCTCTTGCAGGAAGACAAATTTTGCTTTGGCATCAAGTCCCATTTGTACTAACTTTCTTAACTACTACACGATTTCATCACTATAAGATATTTGTCGATATTGTTCCTTCTGCAGATCTTTATATATTTGAAAAATACTGTAGTATCATAGCTTAATACAGTAAATTGTACATTAAATTATCCATAAACTATCAAAGGTGATATAGATGGTTCAGGTAAGAACTTATGCGTCTAAATGCCTCGTTATTCTAATTTTGAAACATGTCTATGATACATTTATAGGCATATACGCTTGCTTTATAGTGTAAGTACCGTAATATGGAGTAATTTATCTCCATAAAATGAGAGACATATTACCATTTTTAGGGTAAATTACTGTATTTGGAGATATATCAAGATAAAGAAAGTATCTTTCAAAGCGTTTATGCAGTCTAAGCTAAACAACTATTGCCTCATATGTTGAATTAAAAATATGAAAGAAAACTTAGGACTTTGTAGCATATTTAAAGATCCTAAATTAATAGTCCGGATAGTTCTCTAGGTCTTCTTAAAATAGGAAAGGGCCACAAGCTCAGGTGAGAACTTGTCTGTATAAATAAATTGTTCTAATTATAAGTCAGATAGTTTTTAAAGTCTTATTATAAAGACGTAATAATGGCTGACTGAGGTAATCAAAGGTTATCTAGGTACTATTTTGGTTCCAAGAAACACAGATAATATGCTACTTCTTTGAGTGATTAGCATTGGACCTCTAAAAGCAGAAAATTTTGGAGTTTGTAAATGAGTCAAAAAGCTAGTTTATATTATTTTGTACTTAGAAAATGACAATTGAAATCCTATAGAGACGGAAAAGGATCTTAATTCTAGGCTCAGGGAGACACAGGACTTAAAGAGATACTCGGGACAATAAAAACTAACTGCAATTCTAAACCTGCCTCTACTTTCCTCTCGTAATTTGTGTATGGGATACATCGTCCAATGTGTATATTAGGAGAAATATCTACTGTATGATCTACCATGATATTCTAGATATACTAGCATTGGGGCAATATGCAATAGTAGTCAACAGCAGCATATAAATTATACTAACTCAATTTTGCGATGAGAAAATTAGCTAGGAAATGGATAAGGTGATAAGAAAAATAGGGCTTAAATAGTAAGTATGGCAGTAACATAGATAGTATAAGATGAAAAGTTGACAAAGGTTAAAGCGAGACGCTAAGCTAAGAAATCAGCGATTGAAGTGGTAGTTGATTGAAAAGCAAACAATTGTGACTGCTGAGTATAGGGAATTTAATATCTATACTAGATGTATTAAAGATATAACGAATAGTATGGAAGTAAATAAAATATAATAAAATGACTATAAGTTATTTACAAATACCGTTATAAAAGTGTTCTAGACGAACGAGAAGTATTAAAAGAGAAGGTTTAACATACGAATAAAACGATGACGAACTAGGAACGAAACATGCAATGCTAGTGACTGTATAAATTCATGCGTACAAGCACCATTACTAATATTAGCTGCGTTTGTCAAGGTTTTGGGATCTTAATTTGCGAAATAATTTCAGCACTATTATATACTCCGTTCATACTTAGAAACAGATAATCAATGTTGATCATACTTTACATTAATACCGCTTATGTAGAAAGTAAGATAATACTTTTAGAGAAGTGCTTGAATTATAACGGATAAGAAAGCGTGTTCTTGTAGAAATAGTTGGAAGGCATCCAATTTTACTATATACGAATTACCCACAAAGTGCGGGTATTCAATTC